CAAAAACACAATTTTCCCGCAGAGACGTATTTTCCGCTAAAATCGCAAAAACGTGTTTCCCCGCTATAATCGCCAAAACGCATTTTCCAACTAAAACCGTAAAAATACGTTTTCCTGCCAAAACCACAAAACCCTGTTTTTCCGCAAAAATCCATTTTTCCGCCAAATCCGCAAAAACACATTTTCGCGTCAAAATTATAAAAGTTAATATATTTAAAATTAATATCATACATGTGACTAAATCAAAACAAAGATATTTTAGTAATTTTTTTACCAAACTCATCTAGATGACGAAGAAAAACTGAGAAACAAACATGAGTACATCTAGATGATCCATCTAGATAGACCATCTGGATGGAGAAACAAATAATCTCAAAAAATGTGGATGGACCATCTAGATGAATCATCTAGATGGATTAGCTGGATGGAGATGATAAATGGTGAAACAAACAGCACCATAGTAGGCGAAGTGAGTCGGTGGAGTTTAAGGCATCGTAAATGCCTTTGATTAAATGCATCATCAAACCGTTACGCCGCCATATCATCAGAGTGACTCACTGAAACATAGAACCAGCTACGGCATCGAGAAAGATGAAGATGAAGCCTAGTTTTTTTTTTGTTACACAATTTTAGACCTTTATCCCATATATCTTCTGGCCCAAGTGTATGTTAACGTATAAGTAAGTATCCGAGGTCTGTAAATTTAGCAAAAACAATAGTCTAAAAAAAATTAAAGTAGCCCAATTTAAGTCAAAACACGTGTCAGGACGTGAAGAGTTAAATTAGTGACATGGCGGAACTGTAGGGATGAAAAATTTATTTTTTATATATAAATAGATAGATAGATAGACTAGGATTGGTCTGGGTTACGTCTGGAGTTTTTTGTTTAAATTTAAATTATAATAATTATATAATTTTTATGTTTATTTAATCTATAAATATTATAATTTATTAGAAAATATAAATAGCTAGGCAATTATAAAATTAGATATTTCCTCTGTTTTGAATTTCCTCGTCATTTTGGTGTTGGAGTGTGTTATATTTCTCACATAACCATGGGCGTCTTAAGACATTTTATAAGACTTGTTCTTGGTCATATGTGTCATTGGTGAGCATCAAGCTGTGACTCCTAGTTATCACTCCTTGGATACAGTAATTGTGGGCGTCACACATTCAGCTGAAGCTTTCTTGACCATGTGTTTGGAGAGCAAAAGGTGTGTGGGCAGTCTAAGTTGAAGATTTGTAATCATAATGTATTCATTTATTCCATGTTTTATCGTGACAATCTTCCTCCATAATTTCTCATCGTAAACTTTCAACTTTGTGATTATTGTTATTAATGTCATTTTGTTTTGCAACGAGAAGCTAGAGAAGATCAAAGTTGCTATAATAACAACAGACAACTCGAAGAACTTTTTGACAAAATGCGCGACTTAATTGTAAGAGGTAACTCGAGAAACTCTCTGGTTTTTAATAACAGAGTCATAACTGCGGAAGGGACTTTTTCTAAAGCCATCGCCGGAGCTTTAGATTGGCAGATAAACCATAAAAATGAAACCACGCCAGCGCGAGCTCTGCCTCCTCTGCAAGACATGTCTCTTATGCAAGCGAGTTTTAAACTACAAACAGATGCTGCTTGGTGTGAAAGATTAAAATTTGCCAGTCTCGGCTGGAACCTATCTTCTCCAGAGAGAGCTTGGCCCTCCTGAAAAACCCTCAGCTGCTTCTCTGCAGCATTATTAAAGATTTTGATATGGAATTCAAAAGCTTGGAAATTGGAAATGATGGTAACATGAACCGGATGCTCAATGTCATATATACAACAATCTGTGATACCCCTTCCCATTATTCATCTAAATTCTGAGTTTTATTATGTAAAGTAATGATTTATTTTTTACAAAAATTCCCTCTTCTAACATGCTTTTTCTTTTACCTGGAAGAGAATGTCTTATTAGCTTCCAGTAAGGCTTTTAACTATCCTCTTTGAAAAAAACCAACAATGACACATTCTTTCAAGTACCAAATTTGACACAGGGATCTGAATTTTTAAGCCAAATCAATGTTTTCCACCGCTTGGTATCGGAAAAAGATAGAACACTAAGAATCTCATAGCTCTCAAACCCACATAGATTCTACTTGTACCATATACTTTAGAACATAGCGATTTAGAACATAGCGATTCCATTCACTATATAAGTCCAAATCTAGTGAAGTAGAAAAGAAGTAGCGACCCCAGAACTATAATCAAGTTTGTTTTAACCATCACCAATCTAATTGCAAAGTTAAAGTATGGTGAGTTGGAAAATTATGACCTTTGATAATTGATACAAAAAAAAAAACACTGGCATGTTCTTTGCTCAGCAAATGTTTGAGTCTCTCTCTAAGAACATGTCGAAGTTTCTAATAAAACCATTAAAAAAATTTATAGAGTAGATTTCTTACATTAACGTCCACCATGAGCATGTCAAACCACAGTTCACCACCACACATGGGATTCTGTGGAGAGATTAAGATCACAGCTGATATGACGATCGCAGCTGATCTGAAAAAATAACATAAATCTCACCCGTCACGGGTGAAGGACATGACGATGGAAAACAAAAGCAAGAGAGATAAGATGAGGATCTGAGGCAGTAGAAGATGAACATAGACTGAATCTTTGTTGCTTTCATGGTTTAAGAGGGTGATGTGTAATGGAAGAAGGCTAACCTTTTTATAGGTGTATACACACCTCCTTGTAGAAGCATAACTCGCATTCATTGTGTGATCGTGTTAACGTCGGTCTATAAGAATTCGGTTGATTAGGAGAGAAGACTAAACGACGCGAGTGAAGACCAACAAAGAGATTTAAGTGATGTGTAATGGAAGAAGACTAACCTTTTTATAGGTGTATACACATCGCCTTGTAGAAGCATAACTCGCATTCATTGTCTGATCGTGTTCACGTCGGTCTATAAGAATTCGGTTGATTAGGAGAGAAGACTAAACGACGCGACTGAAGACCAACAAAGAGATTTAAGTCAAGTCTATCTCTGGAAACTCCATTGATGGTGACAAAGAATACAGAAGATCATGTTTTGGTTTGGGACATTGTAGAAAAGAAAGAACCCTAATTTCTTAGTGTAGTTATGAAGAAGAAAGAGGCCTCACACTATTAGACTCACAAATTCTTCAGTAAAACAATAAACCCACATTAAATTAAGTTTCGAGAGAAACAATGCACTGTATCAATATATGTGCACACGTGTCATATCTAGGGAGCTTGAATTGATGAGGTGGCACTCCTAAAAGAGAAAAAAGTCTATTTTTATAGTAATAGATATCACAAACAAATAAAGCTTGGTTTAATAACAATTACAACTCAATTTAACTTAACAAGAATCTAAATTTTAGCTAATACATCAGCCACAAAGATATCAACTTGCAAATCCCTATTTTAAATTTTAAAGTATTGTTATATATTTAATATATTTACTATTATAAAACTGACAAATCATTCGATTTAGTTTAGTGATAACGTAATTGGGGTAGACAAAATATTCTTATTATCATTCACCGACCTAATATATTAACTTAACAATACCCTAAATTATAGCTATCATATTAATCACAAATATATTAACTTACAAATCAAGGTATAGGCTCATTATGTTGATTAATATGTTTTTGATTTATATACAACATTTAAAATAGATAGTATATATATGCTATATATATATACATTTAAATAAGTGGTCCACTATAAAATAAGGTTTAATAAAATTATATGTACATAACCTTAGTTTTAAAAAATATTAAAATAGAGTTTTTTTATCTACCTAATTATATCTGAATTATAAGGATACACAAATAAAAGGTATTACTTTCGCATAAACTATTACACATATTCATATGAAAAAATAGTTTTATTATCGGCCAAAAAATCTTTGGTTCGAAAAAAACATGTTAATATACAACTAACTGGTTATAAATAAAAACAAATGCAATACACACATGTCATGCGAACGATATGGATAGAATAAAAAATAAATATGTAACATATCATTTCGATTTGTTTATCAAAATTCAATACATAACCAAAATCACACATACATCAATATAAAAAATCATGAAATATTAATATTTAACATTATAAATTGAAGAACACGCGTACGAGCGTGCGGCAAAATATACTATCAATTAATTCACTGCCACTGAAAATATATGCTTCTTACAATAATAAAGCATTTTGCAGCATAATAAAAATAATGAAACAAGATTAGTTGACATGGATGGATTTTAAAATAATTTTGAAATATAATATAATATTGTTATGACTGAAAATAATTCTAAGATAATGTTATGATTGAAAATAGTTCTAAGATGGATTTTTGGTTCATTGATCATATGTGTGTATGACTATTTAGAGATCAATAAATATTTGTCAAAAAATATGTAAACAATTAGGAAAATATTAGCAAAAATTTAGTATAAACAACGAAATGATAGAGGCAAAATTAAGAAGATGCCAAAGAAGATACATAATAGGTGTTAAAGAAGTTAATGTGATAATTAGATACATAATATAATTCCACAAGTATTTTTTATTACTTAATATTCATCAGTTATTTTTACATCAAATTAATGGAAACTTTATGATTGACTGTCAAACTATTTGAAGATAAAAATAATGTTCTTAATGTTTTAAATTATTATTCAAAATTTATGCCATTGTCTACATAATATATCTTTTCGTATAATATTTATATCCGCGTATTCGCGGACAACCACCTACTAAAAATATATGCTTCTTACAAGAATAAAGCATTTTGCAGCATAATACATATATTGAAACAAGATTAGTTGATATGGATGGACGGACACCTATCTTATATCTTCTTCTTCTTCCGACTCCTCTTTAGGGTATTCTTCATCTATTTCAGTTGTGCTTCTTCCTCTTCTTTTTCATCATCTATTTCCTATTTTTCTTCTTCTTCTTCAAATATTTCATTTTCTTCTTCCTACTCTTCAAAGTATTTGTTATTCCACCTAAAAGGATGATTCATCAAGCTGTCAACGGTCCACCTTCGGGCAGGATCTTTCTTAAAACATTTTGATAGAAAGTTCTTTTCTTCTTCAGAGAAAGTATCAGGAACATATGGAACCAAATCGCTTTCACCAATGAGAGTAATCAACTCTTGCCAACACATCTCACCATGCTCTGGCCAAACACGCTCCCTTGTCAACATCTCATGAACCGTACAGCAAAAGGCCCAAACATCAGCCCCAAAGTCCAAAATCTTGTCCCCTATAAGTTCCGGAGACATGAACCGTGTTGTGCCTCTCACGTGACCCCATCCATCACCGTACTCACTCGACCCTTTCTCCATGGCTTTCCCCAAACCAGAGATCTTAGCCACAAACCCATGACGCTCTCCAGTATTCTCGGCCACGAGTAAGATGTTCTTTGGTTTGATGTTGCAATGGATTATCTTCTTTTCATGGAGATGTTTGAGACCAATCAAGACACTCAAAGCGTATATCTGTGAATCACAGAGCTAACCCTATTTCTCTGTGAAGTTTGATGAGTTTCACGAGGCATTGACCCGGATAGTACTCGAGAATCGTGTTGTACCACATCTTATTGCTTTTCTTGTCACGTGTGATCACGTTTCCGTAGTAGGACACAATGTGTGGGATATCTTTGAGACTGTTTAAGAACTCAGACTCGTTCTTGAGCCGTGAAGCCTGTGAGAACTCGGTCATTTTGATTGCCATCTATTTAGGAAGAGATTCTTCTTCTCCCTCGGTCGTTCTCACGGCTAAGTCAACAGAGCCGTATGAGCCTTTCCCAAGAAAACGAGTCAACACCCAAAGATCTCTTTATCAAAAATGTCTCGTCTTGGTCGACGAAACATCAACGTCCTCCTCTGTTTTTGGCTTCTTCTGAATACAATCCGATTCGTAGCTGTCATCATCGTCCCATAGACCATTTCGACAGCTTTCGTTGGAATCAGACATAGATCTCTTCATCTTTCTTTCTCATTCTCTTTAGATTTCTCAGACTTTGGTATTCAAACGAACAAAGACGAAGTGTGTGTAGTTGTGTCCTGTGTGACTGATATTTATAATCCTTTTACTTGCATCTCAAGTTGTCTATTTTCTTTTCTCAACTAGATTCGGGATTTCTGGAGCAACGCCGAATCATAGGTTTGGACCATGCGGTGATAAACCCAGTCGTTATATCTGACACATCTAGAAGTTTGATTTAACTATGGTGATGTTTGTTTTGTACATTAAAATGCTACATTCAGATTGATCACCCAACTAAATTTTTAAAAAGTCATCTTAAATTCTCACCCAAATGAGGATCATTTTTGATGGTGCATCTCGATGCAGATGTATCTAGTTTAGTCCAAAATAATATATGACAAAATAATCTTTTAAAATAAATATATTTTTTCAAACCAAAAATGCCATTTTTTTAAATATACTTTTCTGTCAAAACCATAAAAACCGTAAAATATTTTCCACCATAACCAGAAAAACGCATTTTCCCGCCAAAACCGAAAAACCTATTTTCTCGCCAAAACTGGAAAATGCATTTTCTGGCCAAAACCAAAAACATATTTTCCCGCCAAAACCAGAAAAACGTATTTTCCCGCCAAAACCGAAAAAACATATTTTCTCGCCAAAATCGAAAAATGCATTTTACCGCAAAAGTGGTGATAATCCATCCAGATGTTCTCACTAATACTCAAACGTTAAACCATGATCAAGTCTTCTTGATGAAAACTCCCAACTTAGACTCCTTCAGCTATTCATATTCTTCATTATGAAGAGCATTCCTTAAAGAAGTATACAACTTCGTACACGGATGATACAAAATGCTATTCAATGAGGGGGGCTCTTGCCCTACTGTATGTATCCTACAGGGGAGTTCTGGAATATCTTTTTTTTTTTTTTTTTTTGCAAAACAATCAAAGACAACCATCTCAAACACACAACCATCCAGTATATAATTTTAATTATAAGTCTGGAAAACTTTCCAGACGACTTATAATTAAGTCGTCAGGCAAGTCTTCCAGTTGAAAGACTTATATTTAAGTTGTCTGGACTAGAAGACTTTTCAGACAACTTAATTATAAGTCTTCCAAGACTTCCAGTAGAACATTGTAAAGCCGACCTGAAAATTCGGAGATTATATAGTCGCCTTTGATATATCGGTTATAGATCTGCAAAAATAGACGTGAAAAAAGAAGCACGATGAGAACGACGGTGAGAACGATGTTTTCTGTTCTTCTTTTCCTCAATCAATCACTTGACACTAAGAGATATAACTTACGGCGGTGGAGTTCAACGAAACGCCTCTAAGAGAAACAACGCTAGGGTTTACAAAGAAACGGCGCTAGGTTTCTTCAATAAATAAATAAATTATGTTAATTCGTTTATATTAGTTTTCTTTTAAAAACTTTAATCAAATAAATAAAATTTAAATATCAATAACCAATCAAATTAAGAGAATTAATTCTAAACTTCACCTATAAATGACACATAAGCAAAAGTTACTTTGTGACTTCTCATTTAATAAATAGTAAGATATTATTTGCTTTTTTTTGTGCTATCTAATACTTATGTGTGTTATGTTTTTGAAGATTTTCTCATTCTTATGAAGGTGGAGTGAAGACATTTTCAGAACTGCTTATTTTATTTGTAAAACCGATGTACCAATGTTTTTTTTAATTTGAGAGTTTTGGGTGTTTTCATGAATTTAAAATTTGGTCGAAAGTAAAATATAAAAAGATGTTACCAGGCCCGATTTTAAGGTAGTGATGGTGGAGCAAATCAACAGGGCCCAACATGTTTTTCCAAAAATGTAATGAATTTTGGGCCCTTAAATTCAGAAACAAATTGTTAAATTGGCCCAAAGAAGAGAAAGTTGTGAATTTTGTAGACCAAAATTTTATTTTGACATAATAGATAAGTTTCAGTAATTATAAAAATAAATAATGTATATTCAAATTAGTAAGTTGTAAAGATGCCCTATTTTAAGTCTCATTTTAAAATATCACACATGAAGTAAATTGTGATCATGAAAAGGATTTATCTTATGAAGATATAAATGTACAGATTCAGAAGATCAGACTAATTAATTCGATATTAGTAGTTTTTCCGTAATATCAGGAACATATATTGCACAACAATATATATGGGATAGATTCAGAGAATATGCTCGATTTTTAATATGATTTTATATATTTGATGACAATTATATTTAATATTGGTAGCGTATGAAAATAAAACGTTTTAGGCAAATACTTTTAATTTTGATAACTTCGAATATAGCAAAGATGGTTATTATTAATAATGGTATATGTCAAATCAAAGTTGAAAACCTAGAAATCTCTTTACTCCTTTCTTTACAATGTACTTTATGTCGTCTCTACCAAAACAAATCAATCTCTCTCTCTCTCTCTCTCTCTCTCTCTCTCTCTCTCTCTCGTTTTCTCTCCTTTTCACATAACAAAAAACACTTTGTAAGTTATCTGTTTTTTTTTCTTTGTTTTGAACATTGCATGTAGATCAAGGCTTTGTGTTAGGTTTCATATGGAATCAACGGTTGTTACCTATCTCTTTTACATCTTTCTTTATTGAACCAAATATGTTGGTAATTTGGCTACAATTATATTTAACTTTTATAATATTTTATTCTTCATCTTTGTAATTTAACAATCACATGCATTATCAGTTCTGAAGAGTTAAGAAGATCTCAAATTATTAAAATTTTTCTTCCCCTGAAAACCGTTATCTTTCATATATATTCTCTATTAATGTCTTTAGTGAGAGTAAAATGTTTTGTTTGTATACATCATCTCTTTGTTTTTAATAAAATTTATTTAAATGAACATGCAGATCTCAATATAGGTATGGCTGTGAACCATTTTCAAGGATCTTTTTTGCAAGACGCGTTCACAGACGGAATGAATGATAGGACTAAGCATTACCGAAGGATTCTCAAGATGTACAAGGAGTTCCATGAAGCTGTCGTTTCCTACAACAATGCTGAGGTCAAAGTCTATCGCATTTAGGGTAACCTAGAACTCTTTGATGAGATCTTCAACGACTTTGTCATGATCGATGTGAAGCAGGAGCTAGAAAGCGAACTTGAGCTTTCTCAGGCTCGTATTTCTGATGTCAAGGTTCCTAATCTGAATGGGGATAAGCTAGGAGAGCCACAAATGTGGCATTAATTTGATCTCTTTACTCATCTCTTTTGGTATGTCTTATTTTTAAGGTGTTTCGGCTATGAATGTCTTCAACTTTTCTCTGGTAAAGGAAAACCAGTTTTCCTTTATTATTTTCATGTATTAGATTAAACTTAATGTTTTTATGTTAATCGGTTTATCTATGTTCATATCTCTTTATTATTTTGATTACTGTGATTGGTTATAAATATATTAGGTTCTGTTTAGTTAGGTTTGGTTTAGATAAAAGTTTGATTTAGTGTGATTTAGAGTAATATTTAAGTAGAATAGCTCATTATTTTGTGATATATATTATGTGTTACAAGTTGTAGGTTTCAAAAATTAGTAGTTAGTTATGAAATTATTAGGGTTTATACACTAATTTATCTCATAATATATGGTTACTTATCTCATAATATATATATATATGACGTGATTTGATGGAGAGTTGTATTTCCTCAAAAGCTTCGATTATGGCACATCTTACTATATGATTTGAAAGAGATATAACTGAGCAGTTTTGAGATAGATTTGTCAGAAAATTTTATTATGAGTTGAAGTCGTGTAAAATAAGTTTTGCAGTGTATCGAGGGAATAACCATCATTATCTTTTTGAAACTGGAGATATTATTTTGGGACATGATTGAAAGGTTTATTTAATTGTCAATATTGAGAATTTTCAGTATAAATCCTTTTATATAAAAGAAAACATAGAAATTGGTTTGCAAATGTCAAATAATTTTGCTTACAAAACATTAACGTTGACCATATATTGTCTTTTATGTAGTTATCATCCAATCCATCTTAGTTTGTTTAGCAATATGAAAAACATTATTTTATAAAATTGTTTAAGTTGAGAACAATTATATAGGAAAAAATATAGATAATATATATTTAGCTACAAAAAATATGACATTAACTATATGATGTTACTTCTCAAACAAGGTTTACTATAACTTAACTTATATCATAGCACATATCCCTTATATATTAATCTTAGAGCGGTACAACAAATTTTGGTAGCCACGTTTCATCAGTACGTTGATATTTAGTTACCTTAGAAAAATAAGTTGGTACATCTCAATATATATAGTATACTTTTTTTTTTAAACTAACTATGCAACTAATTGGTAGTGTATAAAAGAAGATTCTCCATTGTTTCCTTAAATAAAAGCTACGAGATTGTCTAATATGATTATAAAATATATGAGAATCAATGATTCTGAATAATAAATATTTGATAACAAATTTCTACCGCCCATCATTTTTTTAATTGTATATTCTTAAAATAAATTAAACAAACATATTAATAATATAATAAAATTTTTGGATTTTTTCTTATATGCTATATTTTAATTTTTTTAAATGATTATAAAATACTAAAATTGTTAAAAAAATTATGATCAATAATTTAACTTTTTGTTATAAAAATACAAATGATCATAAAATCATATAAATATAAAATATCTATAATATATATTCAGAATATAGATATAGGGGTTTTTTGTAAAATTGACTCAAAACTCATAGTCAAACACAAAACTAACTTCTTCTTTTAACTCATCTTGTTTTTGTCCTATCCACCCCACATCTTCATTTTATTTACGTAAATGCCATTAAATTATTTTTTTTTACTTTTTTTTCGAAAATGGCCTTTTTACTCTCTCAACCTCATCATCTTCAAGTATTTACAACATTGCCATGAATACTCCCAACAACCTTGTACAACCCAACAACCTTGTACAACCAAGGTTTGAAGCTTTTGATGCACTTAAAATCGGTACTCATACTCTCTTTCTCAATTGTTATGAACTAAAAACAACATCTCCTTCACTTTGTCTCAATATTCATACCAAAAACCCAAGCTTTTGATAGCAAATTTTTTATGGTTGATAGAGCCATTTAAGCATACAATTGTTGGTGGGTTACTTTCGTTCGATGTTCTGGGTGGTTGGAGAAGACTCTGTGTGCAAAGGAAGTCATCTCACCTAGTTTAAGGTTTGAAATTGAATTTTTCCAGATCTCTTCGCGTAGAAGACTTACCCGTAAGTCATCTGGATGTAGAAGACTTACGGATAAGTCTTCTGGTCAAACGGACGACTTACTTCTAAGTCGTCCAGCTTTGTTTGTTAAAAAAAACACCAGACGACTTATAATTAAGTCGTCTAGGTAAAACGGTCTATTTTTGCTTTTGACCGAATTGTGTTAGATATTTTACTTTTTTGGACGACTTAAAATTAAGTCATCCCTAGGAAAGTTAAAATTTCAATATTTTATTAAATCTAGACGACTTACGGATAAGTCGTCTAAGGTTAGTTTTGCAATTCAAAAATAAAACTTAAATTTTTAACTTCTCCAGACGACTTAATTAAAAGTCGACCGCTCAGACGACTTAGGTTAAAGTCGTCCAGGATAATCAAAGTCGTCCATAATATTTTTCGAGTTTTCTGGTCAAACCTTGCTTATTCTGGACGACTTTAACATAAGTTGTCTGATCGGACGACTTCTAATTAAGTCATCTGGAGAAGTTAAAAATTTAAGTTTTATTTTTGAATTGCAAAACTAACCTGAGACGAATTATCCGTAAGTCGTCTGGATTAAATAAAATATTGATATTTTAACTTTCCCATAGACGACTTAATTTTAAGTCGTCCAGAAAAAGTCAAATATCTGACACAATTCGGTCAAATGCAAAAGTAGCCCGTTTTACCTAGACGACTTAATTATAAGTCGTCTGGCGTTTTTTTTAACAAACAAAGCTGGGCGACTTAGAAGTAAGTCGTCCCATTTAAATTTCAATTGCAAAAATGACCTCAATGGACGAGCTACGGGTAAGTCGTCCAGACGATGTTTAGTAAACTTTCATGAAATTCTCTATGTTTACTAATGCGTTTTATTTTGAATTTTTGCAGATGATTCGTCAGTTACATGCAGTGTATGGAGAATGGTTGTTGAAAGATTTCCGTTAATATTTTGTGGTTGATGATCTCAAAGGAGCAAGATTTTTTTTATTGAATGAAGATTCAACACATGCTGAACTTGTTGCAATGGCACAAGAAGATTATAACCTGGACATGAGCACAGTCACTGTGGAGATTAGATACTCATTACCAGCAGAAATGATGATGGCTCCAGACACCCCCCCCCCCATTCATGTTACAAGTGATAGACAAGTTCATAACTTGCTCGAGATACTCAGAACTCATAGAGTATGACTTTGTGTATCAGGCCGTAGCAAGGTGGGAACGGTTTCAGAGGAAAGGGAAGAAGCTGATGAATGTTTTGAAGATGAAGGTGATAATGAGTTGGTTGGAGATGAAAATCATGATGGGGAGGAGGATGATAAGGAGGAGGATGATGGGGAGGAGGATGATAAGGAGGAGGATGATAAGGAGAAGGATGTTGAAATCTCTGTTTTCTCTAATGTTGCTGAAGCGGACGAGAATGGTGAGGATTATAGTGTTTATGGAAAGGTTAGAGATGAGGATGAGGAAGAAGATGGTGATGTGGTTTTTGAAGATTTCAAAGATACATATGCTATTGAAGGAGGACGATCGAATGGTAACGGTATATATGTCAACAAGAGTTTTGTTAGCAAGGATGCACTGCTTTCAGAG